CAACATTAAAATGATATGTACAGATTTTTTCATTTAATACGTTTGCCTAAATGATGTAATTTCCAAACAGCAGGGTCAACATGTACAGTACCAGTTCTGTATTATTGTGACTGAAGTAAAAGAAATGTGTTTAGCTTCACACAAGCTTAACATGAATCACTGCAGTCACTAGCTGGTGTTTGTTGCTGACCTGGAGATAAGTGGGTTGAATCTTACAGATTTCTTTGACATCACACAACACTCAATTTAATGGATTCTTCCTGTTTATTTCCTTTTGTTCTATGTTAAAAAACTACCCTACAACCTACTGGAAAGTCAATGCCATTCTTGCCATATTTTGTGTCACAAAGCGTTAATCAGGACCCTATGCAGATGATAGGGAGTGAAACAAACAAGTGGGAGAGAGGATCAGGAATGGGGCTGGTAGACAAATGGGGGGTGTATCGATGGTGCACTGGTGCTCAGGGGAGCGTGGTCCAGGCGAAAGTCCAAGGGGTGTCCAAAGGGAGATCCAGGGTGAGCAAAAGTCCAGAGCCGGGTGATCCATCCATGACAAAAGTTTAAAGCCAGAGCAGGATCCGGTGAAGGGTTGAGGAAATAAAATGGGGTAACAGGACCAGGTGCTCCGAGCCCCGGACCCAGCTAGTCAGGACGCCGTTGTGAAGCCTGTGCCGTCGGGCCACTCCTGGACCCGCTGGTGGGCGGGCTTCCGGGTGTCCGTCTTCCAAAGCTGAGCCTGGAATGATAGGATCGTCTGGCTTTTATAGGGAGGGGCAGGATAGGAGTCAGGTGCATGAAAATCAGGCAAAATGGCAAAGAGCCGGAGAGCCCTTAAGAGGAAGGATTTACGGTTGTGACATTTTGCCTACTCATTTTTAATGTTCAACCTACTAATTTTTGTTTTGGGCTAGTAATACTAAAACAGACTATATATTAAACAAAGCTGGTATTTTTGGCTGGGACATTTTCAGTCAGGCAGCATGGTGGTTAGTGCTGTGACCTCACAGGTCTTGGGTTCTGGGTTCCTCTGTGAGGAATGCATGCTGTTAACATGGATTTTATCCCAGTTCTCCGGTTTATACTGTGTTTATACGCAGTGAGCGGGAGGTGACCAGCCCAGGATGCAGTGCTCCCCTGTGTCTGCTGGGTTAGGCTCCAACTCACACATTACTGAAAATGGACACATTAATGTTTACTGCAATTACAGCATGCTTAATATCCAGTATTTTCATTAGGGAAAACATTAGGGGTTTCTGTCTAAATAACAGCCTTTAGCTAATTTAGCTAAGTATACCAATTAAGCAGTTTTTGGGGGTTTTGTATCACTTCTTTCCATTACCTACCAAGCATTTGACATTAACTTGGCTGTGTTATGCAGAAGCAGTTCTTCATGGGAAATTAGGTTTAGCACCAATCGACTGTTCTTCAAATAAATAAGGAAAACTTATAATTATTCATAATTACAGAAGGCAAACAGCTACATTTCAGTAACATTATTGAAAAGATTTTGCAAAGGTTTTTTTCTCATAAAAAATAGGGCGGGGGTGCAGTGGCTCTATGGCTGAGGCTCTGCGCCTGTGGCTGGAGAGTTGCAGGTTCGTATCCTGCAGTCGGCAGAGGAATCCTATTCCGTTGGGCCCCTGAGCAAGGCCCTTAACCCCAACTGCTCCAGGAGTGCAGTATAAATGGCTGACCCTGCGCTCTGACCCCAAGCTTCTCTCCCTGTCTGTGTGTCTGTGTGTCTCATGGAGAGACAGTTGGGGTATTCGAAAAGACAAATTCCTAATCCAAGAAATTGTATATGGCCAAATAAATTATCTCTTAAGGTTTCAGTGATCCTGAGAGTGGGGCCAGACTAACCCCCCTGCTTTCATACACCTGATTCTAGTGCAACCTAATGAAGTAGTGGTTGCATGTTTGGCTGTCTGTTTTATGTTTTTTTTAATTTGACACAAAAATATTTATTGCGTCTTCAGCCTATTTAAGTTTCTAAAATAACCTCTACAGAGTAGAAACTGCTTGCCATAGTAACATATAGATCTAACAATGTTAATAGTGCTTTATGTGTGAAGAGATGGGGTGTAACACTGATCTCTACGTCTTTTGCTGTTCCTCTGTGGAATGCTTTAAGAGGCTTCAAGGCATAACCATTGCTTTAGCAATGCATTAAAGTATTTATTAGCTCTCAATCACAGAACATAATTCCAGTGGGATAGCTCTATCAGAGAGATCCCCTAAAGAGATATATTCTACAGAATATATAGTATGCATGATTAACCGATGTACATGAGCAAAAGACAGACTGCAGGGTAAAATATTTTTAATGTTGCTATAAAGTAAAATTATAGATCAAAATGATTGAGATCGTATATTGCTATTATAAAATTATTGTGGATCAAATTTTAAAAAATGAAAATGAAGCTTCAGGGACTACTTCTCACTTAAACACGCATATAAAAAAGGAAATGAATGTTGTGCAGTGCACTTGGATGGCAGTTGATGGATCCCATGGTGAAATGATACAAAGTTGAGCATTAGAAACCCTGAAATCCTTGCTGCATGCAAATAGGCTTTTCTGTGTGCTTTTTTCTGGGGGTCGCATGGCTGTCACACCATGCTGTGTAGTTATATTCAGAGTGGCAGAAAAGAATGGAGCTACGCGCAACATGGATACGACCTTTGAACACTTTACAGGCATCGGTGTCATGGGCCAGTAGTTATGAGCTGCTTTTAATTTTCACTGGTTTCCATAAAGCACAGCTGGACCGATTTCAGACATGGTGTGAAGACTCATGTCTCAGAGGAGTATGGTCTGGTAAAAAAAAAATTAAGGTCACATTCTTCCTGAAATATTGAGCAACATAAGAAACTAACTATCAGAATAGGCATAGTGTAAAATCTTTTTGTCGAGCTTGTGGCTTTTCTTTGATTTTTATTTCAGTTACTGCATCATCTTTGTTTTTGGTTTTATTTTTTAAGTTGGTTACCTGTGCTTTTATTACCTTTTTCCATATTACTATGGTTTAGGGTGTGTGGGGAGGTTCAAGGGTCAGCAATTTATGGGATTTATAACTTGCAAACTTTAGTTGTTTATCTTGATGTAATGTTCCCCGTTAAAAACATCAATGAAAACATGAACCAAAATGTTTAGTCTGCATCTTTTGGTTAATCAAATCTCCAGGTTCCCAGGCACAGTTTCTGTCTGGGATGACTGTGAGGAGGCTAGACATGATCTCCATGGTCAAGGTAGTGGGTTCAAGGGTAGTTAATATTTGATACTTAATACTTGTTCCCAGTTCTACCATTGGGAGAATAGAGTAATAGAACCAAATAAGCTTCATGGCTCTGTTCTCAATTATGATATCTTGTAATCTTATTATTTCTAATGTTTACAATGTTTATTTTATTCATTTCTGATATTTTGTAGTGTTGACAGTTCACACTGAAGTCAATAGGAGCAGTGAAGGTGAAGTCTATGAAAATTGTCATCTCATTCAAACCTGCCAATCTCTTATTTTTTCTGCTCCTTGGGCGGTTTGTTTAACACAGCTCTGTACATTGTAGCATGTATTTTACATTTCAATACTTTATTTTAGGAATGAATGAATGAATGAAAATTTCACAATTTAATTTTTATAACATTTTATAATATTTTGGTATTTATCTTCCAACGTGATCAAATCCGATTATATGAAACATTTAGTTATGCTTGCCTTCGATTTTAATTCCATCTTATAGTATAGATTTTAGTTAAGATTTTAGATCCACTAACAGTGATTTGACATAGCAATTTACCAAGACAACCTTTCTGTGCAGCTGCTTCAAACCCCAAAGAGGGAACCCAGAGAAGTTCATAAGAAGAATATCCATAAGTAGATTATTCATTCATATTCTTCAGTTTTCTTATGTTCTTAATGTTTTCATAAAGCAAGTAGCTTTTGTGTTTGCTGGTTCTGTAATTTCATTTTTCTTTTGGGTTTAGCCAAATCACAATTAACTGATGATTTCTTTAGTGTACTGATAAGCATATCTGCCACACTGGAGCTTTAAGAAGAATTGGATAGGTTAAAAAACAGTTGTTAACATGGATTTTAATTGTTTAATATGAAAGTGAAAGTTCTGGAAAAAAAGGTGTTTTTGCAGTGTAAAGAAGAAGGTAGTCAGATATAGATCACTACAATGGCAGATGTTGCTGTGTTTTTTTTTCTTAAATCTCTGATTCATCCTCATAAGGTTGTAAGGTTAGCCTTTAAAGATTTTATTATCACTGATGTGTACCCAGCTTTTCGGTGACTGAAAATCTGAAAAGTAAAAAGAAAAGGTTTTATTGCAGTGGCGGTTTAAACTAAAGAATTCCCTGTTATAAAAAATATTAATATCAGGCTGCCTTAAACATTCTCACATAAATGCTGCAAAGAATTCCTTTGTCTTGCTAATAGATTTTCTTCAGGCAAGGGTATGTACACGTAATATGGCTTTTTCTCTACGAACAGCACAGTGCATACGCTGTGTTTGAGAAGTCCAGTCAGGCAAATTTCCCAAATTATCCATCACTGGTGACAGCATGGGTTATGCTCTTATTGTCATTTTATTCTAAGCTTAGTCTCCCTTTGCAGCCTAATTGAAATGCTCATGAGAGGGCAGCAAGCCGAGCATCAGTTGTGTAGATAATCCAACTGCAAGGGGTGGTGGTGGGGGGGGGGGTGATGAAAGAGACAGCAAGCGTCATACAGCAGAGCTTTCATTGATAAACTGGTAGTATCTGCAGAGCACTTACCATCACGGCTTTGCTACTACTGTACACACTCCGCAGCTAAGCTAAGGGCTGCAGCCAGTCACATTCAGTGAGATTACCTCCCAGACCGGCTGTCCTCATCTCTGAGGTACCGCTGAAGAGGCTTAGGTATCACCTGAGTGATAAACGGGTGTCAAAGGGAATAATCTGCCCAAAGGGATTGAATGTGATTCAGTGCATCTCATTCCTTCTCTATAAATTATTAGGAGACAACAGCGTGCAGAGCGCTTCCCCAGCAACATAGAGCATTCTGACAAAGCAGCTGCAACACTGGGATCCACAGAACATAACAGCTCTCCAGCCAGGGCGATGAAAATGGTCAACAGTGACAAGAATGGATTTTCGTTTAAGAAATGCTCAGCTTTCCAGTTCATGAAGAAGAAGGTCAGTACCGCTGTTGCTTGTCGCCACACGTTGAACTGCGTGCCCTAGCATTTTGCTGTAATTAGTTACAGGGGAGGAATCGGATTTAGCTCCGCTTTCATTGAAAGACTTTTAAGCATCTGTCCATCTCAAATGCAGTTCGCCGGCTCTTTATGCGCGAGTAGTGAATGCATCACCAGTTTTTTTCATTCAGAAAAGTGGCTTTGTGAGATAGGTTGAGGGACTTCTCAGATTCCTGGACTATGAAATAGCCCTTTTATTTCACACAATAAGCCTTCAGTACTAGCATTGAAACTGTATATGGTAACTTCTACAGTGAATTGAAAATGTGTGTAGGTCACTCTGTCCCAGGCTTGTTTACTATTGTAAGAAGGTTGTTGTCTTTGTGTAGTGTATGTTTATTATAAATCCTTAGCTACAAGTAAAAATCACAAGTTTACAGAGACACAATAAAAAACTGGGGACTAAGGTCTAAGATTCATATTGTACCTTTTTAAATCTATTTCTCTTTTTCATTTGTTTTACCAATATATTTAATTACTGAACAGTCAGCATTACATTCAGGTCAACAATCAAATCAAATCAAAGTTTATTTATCAAATGCACAACAATAAGGCGTGCAGCAGTAGTTGCTGGCAATGAAATGTCTTTCCCACACAGTTAACTTACTGGTACCTGCGAATTCTGTAAAAAAAAATAACTCAAAAACCAAAGAGATAAGTCATAAGCAGAATTTGCTTATGACTTACAATTTACATTTTGTGACTTCTTAAATTGAAATGATTCTGTATTTTTTAAAGATGCAAGTATCATACAACATGCTTAATCATGTCAGAGATTCAAGTCCTTGTTTTCAGCCTGGTGAATGCATGATGAATGCTCTGCCTTCCATATTATTATTGTAATCAATAATGTTGAAAACATTAGGACAGACATGTCATAAATTAAATGAAATATCACATTTGTGAGGACGGTTCAAATGCCAAACAATACAAACTCGTGCAGAGATAGCAAAACAGTGCAAACGCTTCTTCAAGTTGTTTCCGGACAAATGTAAAATTCCATGATGGATTTTCTTCTGTTTTGGAGAGAGATAATACTGTTGTAGGAGGATGGGTTTTAGAAAACAGCCCACGTATTCAGGGAACATTCCCTGTTTGTTTGTTGTAAAATAGAAAATATGCTGAATTGCAGGGCTGTCAAAGCAGATTGTGAATAAACAGCAAAGTGAATGTTGGATTTTTCTTTTTTCTTGTGCTCATTGGCTTAAAAATGCCAAAGTCCTATGTGGAATGAATGAATGATTAACAGAAGTCAGCCAAGATGGAAGTTTAAATGAATGAACAAGCAAAACTTGCATGAATACAAAACACAACCAAAAACCTTTGACAGTGCCCGATTTGCAAAATTAAATCAATTTTGTAAAGGGTCCTTTTTCAAATTGGTAGTTATTATTTGTGGAACAAAAAAAAAATGAATTACCGTGCAGAAGTGAAACTAACTGTGAAGCATTGGCAGTTTATTTAAGGGGAATAGAGCAACAAATGAAGCATGATTTCTTTTTAAACCCCGCCGATTATCACCAGTTATTGACAGTAAAAATGTAGATTTTTTTTCTCCAGGTATTTTGAGTGTTTTCCGGAAAAGGTAGTCAAATGCTTATGAAATAAAAAGAAGAATCTTTGCTGAATTACTGTACCAATACATGGCAATAATTGATGTGTGAAGCTATGGATCCTTTATTAACAATCCATATGACAGTGAACTCAGTGTGGTCTTGTATGCTGTTAAGTTAGGGGATCATGTCACAAGCCAGATTGTGCTTAGAAACATATTTCTACTTTAAGATTTAGTTCAGTACCTCACATTCCCCAAATGACTCATCAGCAATTCCTCGACAACAAGACAAAGTATTTGCATTTACCGAAAGGAATGTATTACATGGAGAAAATGTCCACAGCAAGATGACATGCAGGTGATATGGGGACACCTTCACAGTGGAAACAAGATTGACAATAAACCAAATGCCTTTGTTCTTTGATGTTTATAACAGTCAACAGATAATTGTTTTGGGTTTATTTTCACCCCTTGTAATGTTTCATTTCAGTTTGAAAAGGTTATTAAAAATAGAATGGGTGTCAATAGGAAGTCCTCACAAAGACAGGAATGGCAGGGACACATACTATCATGATCCACGTCTGGCCTAGAAGAGGTACAGGAATGAATTAAAACGTAGATAGTAATGTGTCTTGCAGGGGAGAACCAAATGGTAATGATACTAGCAGAGAATCTTTCTCACATGCTTTTCATTTTCATCTGTCTGCAGTTCCAAAGTCTTGTTCTTTTTGGCTGTACTCGTTTTTCTTTTACCAAGATGCTGTTTTTTTTCTCTCTGCTGTCGACTGCATTTATTCACAGACACTTTGTGCGGCTGTTGATGCATGAAGCAGCCTGGGTCCACAGCTCAAATTTAAACCTGCAGCTTTTCTTAAAGAGAAAACATCTTATCCCCTAATGCTTCGTATGATTTCCACAAATGTGGTAAAACTTACAAGGAACTGTTTATTGTTTGGTGACACCAATGTCATCAAACATTCTTTTTATGAAAACAGTGCTCTCAGTCCAAAAATTAATTAATGCCTTTACATAAAACCTCCTATATGTCCCATAATAAAATATTTTACGTAACACAAAGTTCACATTAGATATGCAAGCAGCAAGAAGTGTGGTAACTTCCATAGATGATAAAGTGGAGTAAGCGCAATGCAGTCATTAAAAGCATCCTCGCCATATCTTATCTCACTTTTTCACTTCCATTAGTGAATAACATATTATGTTATATCATCTATTATTTTGTATTTGATTACTTGAAGAGTACATCATAGGGCAATGAAATGTATGGCACAGCTTTTATTAAATTTGTTAGAAAGTAATTTTCTCTATCTCCAGTCTTTAATTTATCATTTACTTCTTATTTTTTAAGTGATGCTATATCCATACATCCATTTTCTAACCACCATCTAATACAGGTCAAAGGGAAGCCAGATCATATCCCAGCAAGCAATTGGCGCAAGGCTGGATACACCCTGAATGAGATGAGATGAATACATTGCAGGGCACACACAGACATTAACACTGGCATACATAAACTCCAACTAGGGCCCAGTTTTCCCAGAAGTCAAATAACCTAGCAGTATGTCTTTGGACTGTGGGAGGAATCCACATGAGCACATAATAAGAAAGGGAGAACATAATAATAATACAGATTTGTAATGGCCCAGCTCCAGGATCAAACTCAAGGCTCCAGTGTTGTGAGGCAGAAAAACTAGCCATGCTCTAACGGGTGTTGAATTATTCTAATTAGAGAGGGTTTAAAATGATTTTTTTTTTCATTAAGCAAAATGTATTTATAATATTTATCTCATGAGTGGTAATTCTCAACATGAGTTCACTGAACTGCTAAGAAAAGGTTGGTTTTGACAGGTTGGTAAAAGTCAGGCTAGATAGAGATTAAATGTTTTTTGGCTTAATTTTGATTATTTAATCATTCCCCACTCATACACTTGTGTGACCTTGACAACTGCATAAGGGCTTAACAACCTCATTAATGAGCAGGTAGTTTGGTTTTAGGTGATGAAGTGGTTTACATTGTTGATGTTCAAATTTGAAAAATCAAATTAGTTCAGCAAGAAACAAAAACACAGATTGGAACCATTGAGAGAACAAGGTTTTCATGATATTGATATGTTGGAGTAACACTTAAGCTGGACTTGCCAGCTGTGGAGCAAAACCCTCTTTAACGATGAATCAAGATTTTGTGTAGATGATCCCTGACTGACATCAGTGAGTGTGGAGAAAGATATATAGATGTTTTTGTGTACAACAGACTCGGATGTTGTGGACTTCAAAGACTAATGATCTGGCCAGGAGTGAAGGCTTGTCCTCATGTTAATTGTGTACTATAGCAGCAGCTTTAATGCAAAATGAGTGTGTGACAATTTATGCAGTAGCTTCTTTGCTCTTCAGTCTTGTTGAACATTTGTGAGGAGAGATTGGATGTCATGGGGTAGTTTGGGCTCAGAGACCAACGAACATACTGTATCATCATAGTAACAAATTTGTGGATTTGTTGAAACTAAAATCTATGTTTCTTTGATGTTTAGCATTTTCAGATAAATCCAATCCTGACATATAGGATGTTCATTAATATTTATTTATGATGCACATACTACATGCACAGTCCATTATAAAATTTGAGTAATTAGGTGTCTTTCTGTTCTCATTTTACAAGATGTTTTTTAATTTTATAATAAGAGACTTTTTGTCTAAAGTTTTAGTTACGATTATCAAATTTGTATAAATACAATACCATTTAAGATATAAAGCAAATTTATTAGATTTTTCAAACAATTATTTTTTATTCTTTCAAGAGAAGATATTTTGTATGTTGATATTCCAAAATTGACTTTAATTTAAACTACATTTGTGCCATTACATTCACATTGATTTGCTTTGTTTCCTTTTACAATATGTCCAACATATTAGGAGTGTCAGTGGTCTGAGCAGTTATCTCAGTTGCAATAATATATGGTCTAGCTATCATTAAGACAATAATTATACAGTTACAATGTTCAGTTCTGTAGTGAATTGTAATGATTTACGAGACTTTTGATTGTTTTCTATAAAGGTTAATATTGTTTTTCAAAAGTCAATATATATATACAGTATATAGAATAGCATTACTAGATATAGTAAAATATATATTTTATTTTTTTAATTTACCTTTTATTACATACAGTATATATTTTACTTTTGCATCTATCTAAAATGCAGCCTTTTAATTTTTTACTTGTGTCAAAATGTGCATCTCAAATAATATTTTTCTAAAAGCATGTTAAATGATTTTGTAGTGTATTCCAATATAATATAAGAAACAATGTCACAAATGAATATCACCTGTGCTTCCAAAAATGAATTAATTTGTACCAAAGAACCTTTGT